GGCTGGATCCTTTATATTATTGTGCTCTGTGTGAAATGCATGTGGCTTGAAGCCATGGCCTCTTGCTGAGACAGGAGATTCTCTTCAACACTAGGACTTCACTGATATGAAGCCAGGTAGATTAGCTCACCATGAAGACTGGAAACAATGGGAAACAGTGAGCTCCAGCACTAAGGGCTAGTAAACTTTACCTTTTTATTTCCTAAGATTTCATTTGTTAAAGAAAATGTTCAAATGTATCGTACATTCTCAATTTTATAAGGAATGACGTGACTATTTCCTGGCACAGCCTGACACCCGCTTCCTGCAGTAGTGCAACCGTGTGTGTTCCTACAACGGTTGTAGACCCAGTAAAAGAGATCCCTTCAGTTTTTACAAGATGGTCACAAAGACGAGGTGGTTTTTACCTTCTCTCAGTATTTCCTTGTTTTTCCAGGAGCAGGACAGAGGATGCTAACAGGGTTAGCTTGGACTAGCCTTGGTAAAGACAGATTGTCGAACTGCTCAGATGCTGTAGGATATCTGTATCTGTTAAGATTCTTTAGGGATGCATGTTTGTTTTGATGGCGTCCCATACAATGGACTGGTAAACTGTCCAGCGTGTACACTGCCCTCACCTGTTGACAGCTGGGATTGGTTCCAGTGTCCACCTTGACTGTTCAATGGAATAAGCAGTTGATAACTGATGGACAGTTATATTTACTATATATAAAACAATATAATGATATATCTAGATATATTGTCCAAACACTTAATTTCTGATTCCGATATCCACCGATACCAATATAGCGTGGCAGTGGTGGCCTGGTGGTTAAGGAAGTTAGGGCAGGAAGGGCACACATCATTTGGCGAAATCCAAGCATTGTGTTATCAGATTTTCATTATCGGAGGCAAAAGCGATAACGATTCTTAGAGATATTACATTAATATGCTAATATCGGGCTGATAGTATTGGTCGGTCAAATTTATCGGACATCCCTAGCATTAATTTCCATACATTACTACCAGTCTGCTTTTAGGCTTGGCTATCTGTCCACATTCTTTATAAACAAACCTCTAAATGGAGACCTTTATGTATGGTGTACTATCATTGGACTGTCCAGACAGTTTGTTTGGTAAGAGTGTAAAGTCTCCAGGGCTCGGTTCAGTCTGACTAAAGGAGGTCAACAATGCAACTTCAGTTTGCTGAGTTGTGCAATTTCTTTATTATACACCAGAGACTGTTTCTGGATGATGGACAGCTTTTAATGACTGGAAACTGAACTTGTGTTGTGTGAACAGTGTTAAGAATGTTGTTCAGATTTCTTTTATTCATAAAATTGTACACGCAAGGCGGTATATAAACTCCTTGGGCCCTGTGAGCTGGAACTGCTGATTTTCCCTCTGTAGCTTGGTCAGAGAGGAAGAGCCGAGTTTTCACGCTGCACTGATGCTGTGTCTAATAGCAGGAGGTGACCATCACGCACCGTGGAGTGGAAAACAGGGTGGGGGAAAAACTGCATTTCCCAGGGGCACTTTGGTGGTGGCAAAACTGACCTCCTGACCCTGAGGGCTTTAGGGTTTGCCATTGGAAGTAAAGGGAGAAAGACAGGTTAGAAATACAGGCTAGGAGAAGTTAAGTGCTAATTATTGGTGTTTGTAGAGCTGAGTGTCTTTAACTCCACAAGTGACCACATGTGATTCCTTAGGAACAAAAGTATAATTCACTGCTTTGATGTGATCCAGGATTTCCATGTTGAGATGATTATCACTTGAAAATTCAAAATCCTGCGGGGAGCATTTAAAGTGTGACAACATCAGTTGGGAATGTTTGACAGGAACTTTGTCCTCATAGATCTGGTTTCTGATGTCCCACATCTGCTTTTCACTCTCAGCAGTTGCTTGTGTGCGTGTGTGTGCATGCGTGTGTGTGCATGTACAGTCGTTGGC